CAGCAGGAACAGAGGCCAGGAACAAGTTTGGGACTGATGCAGTGCTTCATATCAATGAGGACTGATAAAGGAGGAAGAAGCAGTTAATAAATGTTCCTTTCTTCCCATCTTCTTAGTGCCCTGGCTCTGGAAGAGCTAGTCATCCAAGTAGAGCAAATAGCATTTGACTTGCAGTTGTGAGGAGCTGTGGATATCTTGGTTGGAAAAACCTCCAGGCTGAAGTCAGACTAGTGTTAACATGAGGTGAGGTCAGTTCCAGCTTTAGTGACCTGGTCTGGAAACACCTGAAGTACAGAGGTGACACAGCTTTCCTAGGTGCACAGTTCCAGGGCTCTGCAGGCTTCAGCAATTCCATCCTAGTTCTGTTACTCTGAGGGGGAATCAACTGTTATCACTTGATTATTATGCAACAGCCCTTATTCCTCTTCTTTTTCCAGCAAGATGGAGGAAAACCATTTATTGAAGGGATCTTGTCAATATTCTGGGGAGTCCGGCATCCTATCCGATTAAAAATCCAGGATGAGAAGCAGATACCCTCTTTTGTAACCCTGAAGTCAACGGAGAGTGCGGGTGTGTTCCCTAGTAAAAGGTAACGTGCTGACAAAGTGCAAGCCAGGGACCAAGCACTGTCTTTGTCCGTGCACAATCTGATGTGCAACCTACTTAGAAATGCAGCCAGATGGGCTGCTCACATTGGAGTGCCTTGTGCTGGTAATAACCCTGCTACCTTTGTCAGATCTCTAAAAACCTCTGAAAGTTCTTAGAGGATTTTTCCTTTCTGTTTTGAATGTTATTTTCTAAGCCTTGGCTGGTGAACTTTGAATTGTATCTGCTGAGCTGAAGCTGAGTAATGTGTGACATGGAGGGTGAGTCAATGTTTACCCTGAAAGACTCCCCAATAAATTCTTTATTTCCAAGCTAGTTTTCTTCATTATTGACTGTCTTAGAGGGCATGTGCTGCATGTTTGAACTGTGGATTTAATTCTGCTGTCACTGTAGCTGTGGAGTCCCACAAGAGTTAAGTTGACTGGCTGCCTCCCTGGCTCCTGCTTCTGAAATTCAGGGATGTAACCAGCAAGGAGCAGCCAACAGTGAACTTGAGTCTGGGACTAATCTGTTTCTCTTGGTTTCCTTCGACCAGGTCTACTGGTACAGGGTGCACAAGGCCTGTAAGACAGGGGCCATCTGGCAGTTCAGGTTACACTTTGCCTTTTACTTTCTAAAATAGTCTTGTGGCTGCTGGAGATCTGAATCTCGAAGTAAACAGTAATTCATGTTAACAGAACTGAGAAGCTGCCCTGACATGCTGTAAGGTATGCAAGCAGCCTGACTGTTTGATCTTAAATGAACCTCTAACGTGCGTGGAACACAACAGAGATGGTCGTTTGGCACATTCATTGCTATTAGCTGAATATTGTTTTGAACATGTATAGAAAAGGAATTTTTAATGTTTTCCTACAAATTGGTTTATATCAGAGCAGTAACTGGCCTGAGACCTTCTGCTGGGGAGTTTATGCAATGAATCATGGAAATACTGGCATAAAGGAGGTTGGTGTTTAAAATGGGCTGGGTTAAACTCCCTGCTCTTGTACAGAACTGCTTTGGATGGCAAGAGTTAAAACATTTCATTAAATCTTCCATGTCCCAGTCTGTAACAGATGCAGCCTGTCCTGTGACTGTTGAAACAACAATCTGTGTGTGTTTTCTGTATGCCTGCCTGGCATCTTACATGGGATTCATCCAAAGCATTGCTGTGAAGTAGAGAAAGAATTACCACAATGAATTTCAAGACATAGCATTAAGTGTTCCTCAGGCCCTGAATGGGATTGTGTTACCTTTGGGATCAATCCCTTGTCATAGTACTAACTAATTTTATTAGCACATAAACTAAAATTATTGCTTTCATACTCCACCCTGAGGTCTGTAGTTGCGTTCTCTGAAGTGCTTAACAGGGGTAGAAACTTATTGCATGAAGCCTGGCTACAGGATAAATTGAAATCACTGAGTTAATGAGGAGTAATCAACTTTGAACCCATTTGGTATTTCAGGGGGATGACACGCTGGGGAGAATTTGATGATCTACATCACATTAGCGGGGAGACAGTGAAATCTACTGAAGAGCCGCTAGACCTTGAGACAAGTGAGTGCTGGTGCTCTTGCTTCTGCTGAAAATTGTGTTCTGTGACTGTGCAAAAAAAGGAAAAAAACCCAAACACATTAGGAGTAGAGTGGGATCTTCTTCTGACTAACATTTCTGCCTCACCCACACCAAAAAAAATAGTTGAATAAAAAGAAATCCATCACCCAGCACCCCCTTCCTGTGGGGGTGCTGGCAGGGAGGGCAGAGTGGGTGCCCCACATGCTGAGGGGGTTTTGTGTTGTCCAGGTTCCTCACATTACAAAAGCCAGATTCTGAAGGCTGGGAGTGAGCAAGAACATGACTGTGCCACCCTTCCCAGGGCTGTCAGCAGCGCTGCGGCCGCGTGCAGGAGGACCAGGCTTCCCACCGTGGCCCGGACAGAGGTGGAAACTCACAGGTTTTCCATCAACGGCCACTTCTACAACTACGAGGTACGGATAGTTGTGTGTTTGATGGCAACAGTGGCAGCAAGCCCATCTGCTGGCTTGGCCCCAGGGCTGTGCTGGGCCTCAGCCTTTGAGCCCCAGTCCACATGCTTGTGACCCTTTCCTGCTGCTTTTGTTCCTAGACATCGGTTTTTACTCCAGCTTTTGGATCAGAAACCAAAATAAGAATCAACAGCCAGATGAGAACTGGACAAGTAATAGAACAACTGCTCCGGAAGTTTAAGGTAACTCCATGTGTTTGCAGAAGCAAATGCAGCCCTGTTCTAGAGTTTGTGTGGACTCCGGCATTGGGTGAAGGCCAGAAAATAACTGGAAGGGGATCGTGCTTAGGAGAGAGCATAGAAAAACAACACGGGGCCATTTTTAAGGAACAGGTTGGGTTTATTTTACTAATGTTTCGTGTCTGAGTCTAGAAAAGTTCTGCTGGGTCTGTAGTGGGCAGTGATGGAAGAACAGAACCGCTTCTGTGTGCTCAGACAAGGCTGCTGCCCTGGAGGGTTTCCTAGCACAGCAAAGGGCACTTGTTTTCATGCCCAGGGCCACACTTCCCCCTAGTGACAGGCTCCAGTAACTGGGTTTGGTTTAAGCTGTAAGGGAATTCTCTTCTAGGAGGTGCCTTCAGTTAGACCCAAGCACACGGAAAGCTCCAGAAAGTCAGGGTTAAAACTAGTGCTCAAGATCAGTGCCATACTGCTGGAAACTTTTGTTTTGTTTTGTTTTGTTTTTTTTTAACCCGGTGGTAACCTTCCTTACCCTTGGTAACTTTCCTTTGTTTTCTCTTCTTGGGTACCCTCTGCCATTAACATGATTCTACCCAGACAGAAATATGTTTACTATTGGTGCTGTTTCTTCAACATCTTTATTCTACACAGCTTCTTAGTGTACAGCTTTTGATAATTCTTCATTTAACTTGTCTAGAGACTGTGCTGTTGCAGAATGACCTCATTCTTATAAGACTTCTTAGAGAGATACTAAAAGGAGAAGCTGACTTTTCTGAATAGTGACATAGAAAATGGAATGAAAGAGCAGGTTGTAAAGCTTTAGAGTAAAAGCTGAAAAATCAGTTTGAAAGGACTTCAGGTTGTTGACTATTGTATGGGCAAGTGGATAGGAAGAGCTCATAGGACTCTATCCTCATGGTTGCACTGCTGGCAACTGTGTGGATCCCTTGGAACAGAAGATAGATGAGGTAATTACAGGTTCTCCAAGGAAACGTGCCTGGAAAGGTCTGGTGTTGTCTAAGAGGGGATGTTACTGATCTGGGAGGTAAGGTGATGTGAGCACTCATGAGATGATGAGGGACAGGGAATGTGGCAGCACGGCTTTCAGTCCTACCCAAATCCAGTAGCTTTTAACTTTTCCACAGACAGGATCCCAGTCTCAAACTTTGATCCATGTGAAGAGGCGGAGAATATCTGCTGACAGTGAAATGCTGGCAAAGTCTTTCTGAACAGACCTTTTTTTTGTGTTTAACAGATAGAGAACAGCCCACATGAATTTGCACTTTATATTATCCACGCATCAGGAGGTAAGGCAGATGCTGCTGCATGATCATTCCACCTCCAGTTAGCCTCTGTGCCGGGGTGTGGGCTGCTTAACTGGGAGTGACAGGACTCACCATGGGCATCTGTCCTTGCCTGAGCAGCCTGGGCACAGCATGGCTTTTCTGGATGTCCTGTAGAGATGGAACAGGATGCACGGGGAGGCTGGTTAGTCACCATTCCTGGAGGTGTGCAAAAAATGTGTAGATGTGGCAGCTGGGGATATGGTTTAGTGCTCATGGGAGTGTTGGATTGATGGTTAGACTTGATGATCTTAGAGGTCATTTCTTATAGGGTGCTAGGAGGTGTGGTCCTCTGATGTAGGGAGGAATATGAGGAACTGTGTTCTGGGAGCTTCTGGAGCTGCTGGTGTGCTTGGGTTGGCTAAACAGGCTGCAGCTGCTCCTGTATTTCAAGGCTGTGTTAAAGATGCTGGGGATTTTTACATAGCCAAACCATGGCCATGCAGTTCCAGGCTCCCACTGGTGGCTATGTGGTGTGTTTTAACTGACAGTTTAGGATATAGTCCTGGATTGCAGATGACTAGTTAACATTTTCCACTAAAAAGAGTACTTTTTACTTCTGCTAACGTTTTTCTTTAGGTAAAAGAAAACATGATCTTTATTAAATACCCGAAAGAATGAGAGAAAACTGATGGGCATATATTTGAAATGTCAAAATACCAACTTGAAACAATATCTGAAAACAGGTAGACATAGGTTTAGGGAGTTGCAGTCAAGCTGGTGCGCCTGGGATCAGTCTCCAAAGTTCTTTCTTGGCTGCCCAAACTGCAGCTGCTTTGTGCTGCATCAATGGGTTTCTGTCAGTGCGCAGCCTCTGGAAACTTGCTAGGTACCTAATAATTATACATCAGCCAAATATTGGATCTTTGTCAAGAAAAAAGATGACTGTGTGAGGTGTCTAGGGGCCCTGTTGCTTGTTCTGAGCATCACACCTTTTCTTGTAACTCCCAGAAAAGAAGCAGCTGAGGAGTGGAGACATTCCCTTGCTGCACAGACTGCTGCAGGGCCCCTCGGAGAAGATCGCCAAGTTCTTTCTCATGGACAAGGACGTGGAAGAGATCAGCAGTGATGTACGTATGTCAGCAATGCCAGTAGCTCACAGGGTTTTCCCAGTTCGCATTGCTGCTGATGTGCTTTTCGTCTTGTTGTCTTGACAGGTTGCTCAGTATATCAAATTTCATCTTCCCTTTCTGGAATCAATTCTGCACAGAATAAATGAAGAAGAAGAGCAGGAGATTCAACAGACCATTGCAAGGTAAGAAGTAGTAAAAAGAGTGGGGGTCACCTTGAGTCCAGGACAATATTTACAGCTATGGGTAGGCTCAAGAAGTTGAATGTGTTTATGTAGCAGAGCACAGGCTCCAAATGCAGAGAAAGGTGCTGGGATTCTGGAACATTTCTGGATCCCAGGGTGAAAAGTTGTGGGAACCTGTATCAGCCAGAGGCTCTCAGCAAATCACCAACTGAACACCACTGGGAATCCAAGTGACCAGGAAATGTAAACTAGAGGAAAAAAAAAAGGGCCATTTTCTGTCAGAAAAGCTTTCACTGCAACACAGGGTTGTCCTGGTTGGAAGACACCTTTAATCTCATCCAGTCCAACCATTAATGCAGCACTGCCAAGCCACCACTAAACCATGACCCTCAGCCATTTATTTTCAGCCATTCAACTACCATGTTAGCATTAGGTTTGAATTTTGGCAAGGGTCTGTGGTGTTTAATGCATTCTCTCTCCCATCACCTCAGGTACCTAAAAGAGAAGAGCATGATCTACCAGCAGCTTCACAGCCGAACTGTTAAGAAAACAGAGACCATGGTTTGATGTGAAGGGCCAGTTGTGAATCCCCCCACACTGCTTCACAAAAGGGGGCTGGGGTGCTAGTGCCAGGGGGCTGTGACTGAGCACCCTTTGAAGCACAGACACGCACAGAGCACTGGAGCTTCTCCAGATCCCTCTGCAACCACAGCAGAACTCCCTCCTCTGCAGCTCTGGAAGATGAGCTGGGAACCACTGAAGGACAGGGGCTATCTTGCCTGCATGACAGATATGCAGCCTCACTTCAAACTTCAGATAAGGAGAAAAAAATCCTGTTTCAAGGCCTTGTGCTTTTAACCTATTAATTTACAAATCATCACCAAAAGTCTAGCATATAGGGAAAATATTGTAATAACCAGTGTGGTAATCATAAAAAAAAAAAAAAAAAAAAAAAAAACAGGAAAATAAAGTATATGGTTTTCATTCTGTTAGCAGAATGTTGAATGCTATTAGGAGGAAGCTTTTTAGCAGAGGTAAGTGAGGTATCTCAGATTGCAGTTAGGCTGTTCACTTATTCACAAAAAAATACCTGTGCAAGAGACCTGGAATGCCAATGGATAGCTCCAGACTGGTAGCTGCCCAACTTGCTTAAGCTTTGAGCTACCCTTTGAGAAATATAAATAGGAATGGCTCCCACTTAAACCTAAGAGGGAACTTCTCTCTGAAACATCTCTGGAACTGTGAAGGAAGAATTCACTAAATGCTTTTGTCCACTTGATTTGGTCCTATAGGCACCTTGGTGGTTGTTGCTGGAACAAAAGGTTTATATTGGAAGATGGACATAAGAAGCATTCAGTGAGGCTGCAGGTCACAGGGTGGTGGGGCTGGGTTGGCAGCCTGCCTGCAGATGCTGTTTTGGCATTGCCTGGCCCAGCACAGTGTGCAGCAGCCAGCTGCCAGGTCCTGTCTGACTTGTGCTGCATACTGAAGTTCACATTGCAGAGATGTAAATAAAATCCTATTAATTGCCCTCCTGTATCAGTTTGTCCTTTTTTTACATGATACTTGTCTTTTGCTACAGCTACCTGTGATATGCATAGATAACAAGATGAAATACTGCAAGAGGGAGGAAATCGATGCACAGAAAATGTTTCATGGACATCACATGGAATAAATCAAATAGGAAAAATTTATACTGCCTGAGGTGATGTTACTGAAATCCTTGTAACCGCTTGGTCGGAGAAGAAAAGAGAGATTCTTGCACAGACCACATCGGGAAAAGAAAAAATGCTGTGGGGGTGGTTCTGCTATCCTCTGCGTGTACACAGTCCTGAACCTGAGCCACTTCTGCCACCACCTGGTGTTACACACTTGAGCCCTTCTTATTTCATTTATCCTGC